GCCGCAGCAGCCACGCAGCCGGAGATGCCACGGGGCGCGGGAGGCCCCGGCGCGGCGGACAATGCCAGCCTTTATCGCGGCGAGCGGGATGGGAAGTGGTGAGCTGCCAGCTGGAACCCATTAACTGAAACATTTGCCTTAATGTGCAGAACTTAACTCTCCCTCCCCATACTCTGAGCAATGGCAGTATTTACACAGCTGTTTAAAAATACCCAGAAGGTGTCTGGTCAAACAGGACAATGATTTTCTGCAAACTTGACCAAATCCTAGCTCTTTGCCCCTGAAGTCTCGTTACCACGGCTCCACGCTCTCCCGACGGAGCAGCTGCGGCCTCGATGTTATCCCTGCAAACAGACCTGTACGCTGCGTTCCAGCCACCACGAAACGACAGACCGATACTGAAACTGAAGGCCGGTTTATTGTCATAGCAAATACCAAAATAAAAAGGCTTTTACTTCGTATGTGAGGAGATCAAAGACCGTGCGGGTGACCCCGGTCCCGCCCCCAGCAACTCTCCGGTAGCAGCAGCGCCACAAACCTGTATTTTCTTTGTGACACAGAGCGGGTTTTAAATGAAGACCTGGATTTTAAAAGTTTCAGATGGAGGGAGTTAGGACAAAAGGCGAGTGAGGAAGATGGGATACAGATTTATACAGAGCGACAGCTCGGCTCTGGAAAATTAAGGAAGTTCTAGAAGTAACGAGGAAACCGGACCGGCAGCGCAGCGATGGGTTTTGGTTTGTGAAGACTGGTACGATTTCAACTTTGCTTTTGCCTTTTACTCTCATCGCAGTTTAACCAAACTACAAGAGTATTTTAGTAGCCATGTTTTCAATTAAAAAAAAAAAATCATTAAGACCTATTTATTCCAAACTATCGTCTTCCCGTGGAGTCACGGAAAACCACGCTGAGTCATACCGCTTCAGCTTATTTGGGTCTTTTCATCAGGAATTAAACTTTCTACGCGAGCATTTTTCACTAACGGAAATCTCGAGCGTGAATCCCAAGTGAAAGCATCCTCAAAGCGCTAGGTACTCTGACCTCATTCCCCAATTTCTGCTACTCCCTGCTCATCATCTCCCCGCAGAATCTACCAGTGCTACTGCTGCCTACCTACCCGTGCAGTTTCTGAGCCCTGAGTGGCTGACGCAGTAGGCAGGGCTGGGGATGGAACTTCCCTTAGCTCCTGTTTTCCAACAAATACAAAGAAGAAACGGGACTGTTCACCAGTGGAAAGTGATGCTTCTCTTTTATTTTCCATTTGCAACTCTCCAAAGTCACTCTGCTAACAGGGAAAAGAAAACTGAAGTACAAACACTGGAACCAGCAGCTGAAATTCATTAGTGTGATCGCCTCGTTAAAGACTAATGCACATTTAAAACACTGGGGAGTGACACCCAGTGTAGCAGTAGCAAGAGTTTGGGGCACAACGTCGCAAATGCAACAGGCTGGTCTCTGAAAAGTAAGTTAGTGCTTAGACTTGCTTCATCTCCTATTAGTACGCTGGCCGCAAATTCTAACAGCAATTAACAAACAGGCTCTCCTGCTGCCAAGCAGCAGATGGACTGGGGAGAGGGGAAAAAAAAAAACGTTCTCTCTAGGCCTGAACTTTTGTCTTGAAAACCCCCTCCCGCTTGCATGTGTGCAAAACAAAACCCTGCTACCTCTTCGCACCTGCCACGTGAAGCACGAATCCCTTTTCTGAAGTGAAAGGCACATCAGAGAGCGCTGTTCCGAGTCAAAAAGGAAAATCTACGTTTGGACAGTCCAGAGATTCTTTTACTCGCCCTGTGACTATTCAGTATGATGGCGTGTGACCTTTGCTACTAGGAAACCTCCGTTCGCAAGGCCTGCTCAGAAAGAAGAAAGCCGACATTAACGCGGTGCCATCCACTTCGTTTACTTGAACATCCTATTTCTGCCGAGACTTCTGCTGGAAACACCGAAATTCAGGTGGCGTGTCAGAGGCAGACAACGTACCGTAAGGACCGTGGGACTAGTCATTCACGCAGTTACTCATCAGCAAGGCTTTTTGCAAAGGCAGGATCCCTGAGACAAAAATTCTTTTCTCCCTGTTTCTTCTAACCATGACAGTACCACAAAAACCAAGTCCAGTTATCCACTGGCAGGACACTGCCTCCACCCCTCGCCTTGCAGCCACACTGCTGGCAAGAGCCTGGACACACACGCTCCCTGTTGCTCTCCCCAGACAGGACAAATGGAAAACAAACCAATGTTAAAATGTAGAAAATGAACAGTTTGGGCCACTACCTGCGTGACACGTGGTCTAAAGCTTAGATCCTCCCCCCTGGAAACAAGGTAGCCTGCAGGACTTCAGCTGGACTTGTGTAGGGATGGGCCCGAAGCAGAGACACGGGCTGTTAGATGGGCCTGGGATGGGCCTGGAGCAGAGACACGGGCTGTGGGATCATCCCTGTGTCCTATGCAATGGGCAGGAACCTACCACGTGGACGAGGTCTGGGCCTTCAAGCAGACACACGTAGTGTACAAAAGTCTAGCACCTTTTTTTAAAAGGGGTTTGAAATAAAGTATTTGAAATTTCTGACAAGAAAAAAACCCAAAACGACAAAGTTGTAGCAGCAATGCCCCTCCCTCCGAAACCTCAACGTTTCTTTCCTTCCGACTGCTACAAACCACTTCCACCCAACACGAAGTACTATCTAAGCCAGCTGCAGAACGGATAGCCTAGCTAGCCTCTCCAGAAGAATTTGGTCTCTATGTCCCAGAGCAGAGAGGTGCACCCAGAGGACATACCTGGAGCTGGTTGCTGAGAAGTTACCAGAAAAACCACCCCAAAAAAGTCTTTGTGTCTAACTGTCATACAAAAGATTGAAAGGATTAAGTCTGATTCATGTCTCTCAGTACAGGAAAAGGGGAAAATGAAAAGGAATCTCCCAGTTCAGGTTTCTTTTGATATAAAACAAATAGAAATCTTTCTTCTCAGTCAACACTATGAAGTAGTTTTGTGTCCTCCCTGGTTCCTACCCCGTCCTCTTCTTGGAGCCCTTCTGCCAGTCCCTCTGCAAACTTGGTCTGGCTTCCCGCGTAGTCCATGAACATGTTGGGAATATCTTTGCCGAAGTATATCTTGCTGTTGGCCGCGATAGCCTTGTACTTCATCAGCTGCAGGTACTCGGGAGTTAATTTCAGCTGCGCAAAAAGAAAACGGGTCACCAACAGCATGGATTCAAACGCAGATTTCCCTCAGGAGCACAGGAGGCATCTCCTTTTCCACCACACCAGCAGGCCCTATCCTCTCTGCCGCCGCCGCAGCGTGCCCAGAAGAAAGCGCTCTCTCAGCGTGTCTAAGCGAGGCTCTATATCCCAGTGACTAAACGGCCAACTGAGAAAGTGATGGAAGCAGCTGGGAAGCGTTCAGTCCAAACGTGCCCAAGATGGAGACGCTCGAAAGCACGTAACTCACTGGAAGCCCTTGCAATGCAGCCTACTGGAACGAAAAATAGAGCTGGCTTTTTTCCAGAGAGTAGATTGACGAGCCCGTTTGGAGAGCAGAGCTCATTCGTTCAGGATAACGGCATTATAACAGAGAGGATAGAATATCTGGGGCAAAACCTGTGCACAAACATCCCAGACCTCTGACCAGTCTCACTGACGCTGACAGAACACAACGCCTTCCCGCTGGGATGTCCTGGGAACTTGCTGTAAATGACACAAGCCTGGCAGTTCCATCAACATAATTTATCTGTTTTCAGGTTGGTTTTTTCCTTTTGCAGGACCAAGGCTAGTTAGTTTGGAGTAGAACAGCTCCATTTATTCTTCACCCAAACACCCATTTACTCTAAGCCTGCCTTTCACTCCAGAGATCTCCCTGCTCTGACTGCTTGCCAGCAGGTTGGAATGAATCAACATTTCTGATTACAACAGCGCGAAAGGGCAACACCAAAACTGATATTCTGTCTGCAGACGGAGCCACGGCCCATCGAGCAGAGCTGTCTCCAGAGATGACCAGGTATTTCACGTGTCCTGATGTAAGGGTATCTGTCCAGGGAAGAAAATGAATTTGCAAACAGGACCCAACTGCATCAGTCTGAATGAAAACTTTTCTGAGAGGACGTGGCTTTGTTTTGCTTTCTGACCCAAACAGTGAGACGCAACAAGCAAGCAATAAAAGCGACTGCTCTTTTGCTGGGCGATTCTATATGAGCTAAGGAGCCCTGCTTCGAGGCACAGTGTAAGGAAACAACGATACCTTGTTGGCTTCAGCCACTTTCATAGCAGTGTAGCACTCCGCATCAGCTCTCGCCTTCTCCCTTGCAAGAAACGCAGCATCTGGAAGAAAACACACGCTGTCACATTGAGGTTTTTATTTCCAGCCATGTTAGCACCACTTGCAACTGGAAGCTTGAAGAAGTGGCCAGTACCACATCTAAACTGTATGGGGCACAAGAAGGGAAAAGGGGGAACAAAGTGGGAAACCCAGAAATAGGGTCTCAATTTACATCTAAAACGCTGCAGGATGATAGCGTTAAGTAAATTGCATCTGCAACTGAAGACCTCAAAGCAGTTCACATACATAAGGTTTTCATTAGCACCCCGTCACGCGGGCTGAGAGCGCTCTTTCTTCTCCAGCCAGCCACCAGCCCTTGCGCTGCAAACGCAGTAACTGCTCCACGGCAAAGTGGTGTTCACCCACGACACCCCCACAGGGCTCCGAGAACGGCACAGCAGAGTGCTCCGCAGATGCCGCCTGCGGCTGCGAATGCAGCTCCCCGACGGGATTACGCCTGGGATACCGAGGCTGAGGTAGGTGCTGGCACACAGAGGCAGGAGATTTTAACCGTCACAGGCGCTGCCCCTCGGACAGATGTCGGAGAGCTGTTTCTCTGCAATACGAGGAGTTGCGTAAAGGGTCTGATCCTGCCGATCCTGCGGGATACTGAGCTTCCTCGACTCCTAGCAAAGACGTCTAAGGAAAGAAACTCTTCCCCTTTCTGTACTGCCCTCTTTTTTTTTTTTTGACTTTTTATCCGTCCCACGACAACGATGTGCCATCGTGCCACCACGATAAGGTTAAGATGAGCATCATCTGGTTGGTTCGATGGGATCTCCTGGCATTCCCTCTCTGACCGGGAGCCACATGATTCCAATACATGCCAGTCTGGATTTGAGAGTTCCACAGCTGGATAAACCATTTGTTTACCTACACTAGCAGGGAGTCTGTGAGTTGCTACACTCAGAAATCCTGTAAGCCATTGGATGGTTTGGCCTGAGACTTCCTCTTTTGGCTAATGAGTGGTCCCAGTCTGAGCCACTGGAAAGAACGAGGGAGACGGGAATCCCCTGCCAGCACAGAGTTGAACCGAAGGCCTGACGCCCAGTGACACACATTTACGAGAAATAAAACCCATTGTATTTCTGTGAAGTACTTCTTAATGAGAAGCTGCTGATCTGTAAAACCTTAATTGGCTCCTTGGTGGCCTTCCGCAAAACCTGACTGGGCCTGTGGTGAATGCAATTGAAAACAAGGCCATGCCACTCTGAGCTGGAAATGCAGAGCCCTTTTCATGCCCAGGAATTTCCCTGACAAAGCATTGTATCAGGTGGGGGGACAGCTATGAGCACAACCTCCCAGAAAGAGCACCTTGAGAAAGGGTTTCAAGAAGCACAGTCTGCAAAGAAACATCCTTATTCCTGCCGCTGGTCAATCCCAAGTCCCGAAAGTAGTCAGCTGTAAAACTAAAGGAGGATGAAAAAGCAGAAATACAAACTAGACAGAGATATTACAGATTTACTGGTTAAAGAAGATACTGTATTTTCAAAAGCAGCTCCCCTTCTCTCAACCTTTAGGCACTGGAAGCCACACAACAGCCCCTGCTGCTACAGAGCACATAAGAGCCACTTTGTTTCCCAACTACTTCACACTACGCAAAAAGCCTAAAGCTAAATTTCTGTACCTCTTCTCCCTCCAAGAAAGAGAGAGGTTCTAGAAGAATCCTAAACAAGAAAAGGACAGAGAGCAGCTTCCACAACGCTACCCTACTGCAGATGAAGAGGTGTGGCTGCCCTGACAAGACTGCAGAGATTTTAGGATGCTTCCACTTCTCTGTGAGCCTGCAGCCACTATCCAAAACCTGGCACAACATCTTTCAGGAAGACACCGGCCTGCCACTTCCTTCCTCCATACTTGTGACTATTAGAAAGCTGGGGGGGCCTTTCCCAAGGGCAGTGAGTGACAGGACAATGGGGGAACGGGTTAAAGGGAA